GGGGATTAAATGGGTGGGTAGGGTCAGTGATGGGGGGAGAGTGTACACGGGGCTGTGGGAGGGGGATTAAATGGGTGGGTAGGGTCAGTGATAGGGGGAGAGTGTACACGGGGCAGTGGGAGGGGGATTAACTGGGTGGGTAGGGTCAGCAATGGTGGGGAGAGTGTACAAGAGTTTGTTAATTCACGTTGAGCATGTTGAGAAGGACAACTGTCTGTTGCAGAACGTGATATGTTTTTAGTACATGAGATGTCCTGGATACCTGTAGACCTTTCTGTCTTATTGAAGTTGTTTGTGTGGGTCTTTTTGCAGTTTGGCAACATGGAAGGAATCACCACAGCGTTCCTGGATGAGTTCCCAGTATTACGGAGTGGGAAATGGAAGGTGTTGTTCCTAGCTGCACTGTGCTTCACATTCTATCTGCTGGGCCTGCTGCTTATCACTGAGGTACAGCACAAAGTGATCCCATAACCTCACACTATCAGCAATTGAGGGTCAACCCTGTTATAGGGACCAGTGGTTATTTTTGTTGGTGTCTCTGGCAAGGCCAGCGTCTGTTGCCTGTCACAATTACCCAGAAGGCAGTTAAGAGTCACCCACATCACTGTGGGCCTGGAGTCACACATAGGCCAGACCAGGTAGGTACGGTAGATTTCCGTCCCTAAAGGACATTACTGAACCAGATGGGCTTGTACAACAGTCACAGTGGTCTAGGTTTTAATTCCACATTTAACAAAGGAGTTTGAATTCCACCAGCTGCCATGGTGGGACTTCCGAAGCTACGTTTCTGAGGCATTAGCCTCCCCGAATAGTTCAGTGACATTCCCACGACACATCCATCTCCTGCTGCTATCTGGGTCTGCCTGCAGAGCCTGTAGTGAGGATGGCCATCTGCTAGAGGGTAGGGGACAGATGGTTATAAAGTAGATGAGGAGAAGACTATACTACTGAAACGGTTTGTTGATTGTATTGTTAAAGATATACCAGTGATGGGCATTGTGCATTTAAAGACAGGAATCATATGAAGACCACCAGAGGATTTGGTTTAGCCAGTTAGCTGGGTGGCTGATTTGCAGCTTGGGTGCAGTTTCAGCTGAAACGGCTGAGGTTACCATGAAGGACTCTTCAATCTCACCCCTCACCTGAGGCATGGTGACGCTCAGGTTAAACCACCACCAGTCACCGCTCTCTAATGAGAGAGACTGTGGTTCTCTGGGACTAGGGTGACTTTAAAAGGGCTCTTGTAGTGCAGTGGTAGTGTCCCTTCCTCTGAGCCAGGACACCGAGGCTCCAGGGCTGTGTGACAACTTACCTGAACAAGTGATTCGAAAATACTTATAAAGAGCATCAGCTATCACTACTGCTCCTTCTGGCTAAGTCTTGATTTAATCACAAATCTGTAGTTGTGGCCAAGTGGTTAAATGCATGGATTGGACATTGAGTGGGATCTCCCAATATTGATTTGAATCCCGATGACTATATTTGTACTCCTGCTGACGAGAGGGTCTTGTTGTGCAGTGGTACTATCTCTGCCTGTTGGCTGGAAGCCCCACCAGCCCCAGAGATGCATCATAACATGTTGGAACAGAGTCATAGAGTCATAGAGCTGTACAGCACAGAAACAGACCCTTTGGTCCAACTCGTCCATGTCAACCAGATATTGATTGAAAGATGATATCATAAATTAGTCTAGCCCCACTTGCCAACATTTGGCCCATATTCCTCTAAACCCTTCCTATTCATATACCTATCTAGATGCCTTTTAAATGTTGTAATTGTACCAGTCTCCACCACTTCCTCTGGCAGCTCGTTCCATACATGCACCACCTACTGTGTGAAAAAGTTGCCCCTTAAGTACCTTTCAAATGTTTCCCCTCTCACCTTAAACCTATGTCCTCTAGTTTTGGTCTCTCCCACCCCAGGGAAAAGACCTTGTGTATTTAACCTATCCATGCCCATCATAATTTTATAACCTCTATTAAGTTCACCCCTCAGCCTCCGACGCTCTAGGGAAAATAGCCACAGTCTATTCAGCCTCTCCCTATAGCACAAACCCTCTAAACCCTGGCAACATCCTTGTAAATCTTTTCTCAACCCTTCCAAGTTTCACAACATCATTCCTGTCGCAGGGAAACCAGAATTGCACGCAGTATTCCAACAGTCGTCCAACAACATGACCTTCAACTCCTATACTCAATGCACTGTCCAATAAAGGCAAACATACTAAACATCTTCTTCACTATCCTGTCTACCTGCAACTCCACTGTCAAAGAACTATGAACCTGCACTCCAAGGTCTCTTTGACTAGCAACAGTCCCCAGGACCTTACCATTAAGTGTATAAGTCCTGCCCTGATTTGCCTTTCCTAAATGCAGCACCTAAATTAAACTCCATCTGCCACTCCTCAGCCCATTGGCCCGCCTGATCAAGGTCCCACTGTACTCTGAGGTAACCTTCCTCGCTCTCCACTACACCTCCAACTTTGGTGTCATCTGCAAACTTACTAACCATACTTCCTATGTTCACATTCAAATCATTTATGTAAATGAGGAAACGCAGTGGACCCAGCACCGATCCTTGTGGCACACTGCTGGTCACAGGCCTCCAGTCTGAAAAGCAACCCTCCACCATCCCCCTCTGTCTTCTGCCTTTGAGCCATTCTGTATCCAAATAGCTAGTTCCTCCCATATTCCATGTGACATAACCTTGCTGACCAGTCTACCATGGAGAACCTTGCCAAATGCCTTACTGAAGTCCAAATAGACCACATCCACCGCTCTGCACTCATTAGTCCTCTTTGTTACTTCTTCACAAAGCTCAATTAAGTTAATGAGACACGACTTCCCACGCACAAAGCCATGTTGACTATCCCTATCATTCCTTGCCTTTCCAAATACGTGTAAATCCTGACCCTCAGGATTCCCTCCAACAACTTGCCCACCACTGAGGTCATGCTCACCAGTCTATAGTTCCCTGGCTTTTCCTTACCACTTTTCTTAAATGGTGATGCCACGTTAGCCAACCTCCAGTCTTCTGGCACCTCACCTGTGGCTATCAATGAAACAAATAACTTTGCAAGGGGCCCAGCAATCTCTTCCCTCACTTCCCACAGAATTCTAGAGAACAACTGATCAGGTCCCAGGGTCTTACCTTTATATGTTTTAAGACATCCAGCACTTTCTCCTGTAATATCTATTGAGGAATTATTTTGAAAGCTAGTCAGCCGGGACATAAGGACAATAATTAGGAGGTAAAGGCTTTGTGTCCAATGAACAAGGAAAAGAGTTGTGTCTTGTTCTGTACTTTGCCATCTATGTTGGAACAGTTTGTCGATTAGGAATTCAGGGGTTAAACGTCGCATTGTGATCATTCAGAATATGAACAGGAATCAATATGAAAATAAAAGTAATCATTAAGATAGAGGGGAGTCACCTCAAACAGTGACAGGAAAATACGGGTTTATGCCCAACAATCCTACCTTTGGATAAAAAAGGGTCAGTTCCAACAATGATCTAATGAAGGCCCATTCCCATTCAAACACCAGTGTGTCATGTGGAGGATATAGTCAGGCATTCAAGAGGACATTGGATAATTATTTAAACAGAAATACTGTGCAGTTGAAAGGGGGAGAAACACAAGATTGTAACAAGGTAATGATGCTCATTCAAAGAGCCAGTAGAGTACAATGGGCTGAATAGCCTCCTGCTGCAGTAACAATTGTGTGATTCTGTATTTGTCCACACGTGGCCGATCAGCTCTAACCATTGCTCCTTTCATACAGGGTGGCATCTACTGGTTCACTCTCATCGATGCGTTCAGCACCAGCTTCGGGCTCATCATCATCACTCTCTTCATGTGCCTGGGGATCGCTTTCTTCTACGGTAAACCCTGCTCCCAGAAACCTGTAGAAATGGAGAGCATCCATTCCTGACCAGCATGATTGAAGTGCTTTAGGGAACATTGAGCACTAAGACAACTCTTTAAACCAACCCTTTTTGTTCACAATCAGTGGAGCCATCAGTTGAAGAATGAGAAGGGAACAGAGAAACTTATTGTGATCTGGGATGCACTGCTTGTGGAGGAAGGAGGTTAAATAGGAACCTTCAAATTGATAAATGCAGGATAAATATCTGGGAGAGACATGTTTGCAGGGAAGTACAAAAGGAGTGAGATTAAACTGAAAAGATCAGCCAAAAGCAAGTATGGGTATGGTGGGCAGAATGACCATCTTCTGTGCTGTATAATTCCTTTTGGAGTTATCATTCTGTCCCAGCCCTTCAGGAAACCACGCTGACAAGTTGCATTTGTACAGAAACTTTAATATCAGCAAAATACCTCAAGGAGTGCTCAGAGTAAAAGATGAACACTGGCGAGTGCATGAGGAGGTATTAGGTCAGGGGTTTGGGCACAGTCACGTTTTAAGGAGTGTCTTGAAGGAGGGGTTGGGGTAGAATGTCAGAGAGATGTGGGGGTGGAATTCCAAAGCTAGGGCCCCAGGTGAGAGAAGGCACAGTCACCAAGGGTAGAGAGATTTACACCAGATGCTGACGAGAATTTGGGGGACAGAGGAGTTTGTCGAGCTGTGGAGAAGGTGAGGCACTGGGAGGAGCGAAGGACCTGCATAGGAGAATGGAAATTTGAGAGATAGCTGGACAAAGACTCCGTGTGGGTCAGTGAACAGAGCGTGACTGGTGGTGGAACTTGGGCATGTTTGGATGGTGAGGACCTCATTGACAGAGGCTAGAGGATGGCGGTATGTGGAGTATACAATGACCGGCCCTGACAATTGAGGGGTTGTTCTTGGCATTTTGGCTCATCACACACTCAGCACCAAGGCAAAGCGTTGTGGGGTCCAGTTCCCCTCCAGCAACATGGCCACAGGATCTATGGCCAGCTGCCTGAACTGATGGAGTGTGGCACTGAGGTAGTGCTGCTTTCTGGCTGAGGTGTGAAACTGAGGCCTCATCTGCCCCCTCAGGTGGATATAAAAGATATCACGGTGGGCCAATATTAACCCCTCAAATTAAACCATTAATTCATCCAGTCATCTGTCAACACTGCTGTTTGTGGGACCTGGCTGTGTACAAATTGGCTGTCATGTTCACTACGACACCGCAATGAGAAAGTAAAATTACCCTGGGAAGTGCTGGGCTGATGAAAACTGTTACAGAAATGTCAGTTTTTTTTTCTATCTCCTGACAGTGCTGTCTCTCCCCCACAGGTGTTAACCAGTTCTGTAATGACATTATTGACATGATCCGTCTCTGCCCACCCTGGTGCAGCAAGGTGTTACTCTATTTCAAGGCTTGCTGGACCCTGTTTACACCCCTGCTGCTCCTGGTAAGTCTGCAAATCTGCTCACTTGTTAAAAAGAATCATTCCCTTTCTCCCCCTCCTGCACGCCTCAGTTTCCGAAAACCTTGATGAGGTGCAGTTCTAACTGCACCAGGCCATGGTCTCTGCCTTCAGGAATTGACCATTCACAGTCTACAAACCTGACCAGCCCCACATTGAAGCGTATTTGCTGTCACAAATTAGCAATGTGAAGGGACCCAATATGGTTCTTACTCTTCAGTGACCCCCATAGTCTAAGGTGCAGTGGTGTAACACCACAGGTACCAGCTTGCAAACCAGAGGTCAGTGAGTTGCATGTCCACAGATCTTTGAAGGCAGCAGCTCAGGTAGATAAGTTGGTTAAGAAAGCATTTGGATACTTGCCTTTATTAGTCAAGGCATTGAATACGCAAGCATGGAGGCTATGACGGAGCTGTATGAGACATTAGGCCACAGCTAGAGTACTGGTCGCTGGATGATAGGAAGGATGTGATTGCACTGGAGGGGTTGGGAAGGAGACTCTCCTTCACCAGGATATTGCCTGGGCTGGAGGACTTCAGTTATGAAGAGACAGTGGACAGACTGGGGTTGTTTTCCTTGGAGCAGAGGAGATTGAGAGGGGACATGATTGCGATGGATAAAATTATGAGGGGCGTAGATTGGGTAGACAGGAAAAAACATTTCCCTTAATGGAGGGATCAGTGACCGGGGGGCATAGATTGAAGGTAAAAGGCAGAAGGTTTAGATGGGATGTAAGGAATAACTTTTTCACCCAGAGGGTGGTGGGAATCTGGAACTCACTGCCTGTAAGCGTAGTAGGGACAGAAACCCTCAGAATACTGAAGAAATGTTTAGATATGCACTTGTGATACCAAGGCATAGAAGACCAAATACTGGAAAATGGAATTAGAGTAGTTAGTGGTTGTTCTTGACCAGCACAGCTTTATGGGCTGAATGGCCTTTTTCTGCACTGCAGACCTCTATGACTCTACCAAAAGGGAAAAACGTTTTCCCTTAGTAGAGGGGTTTAATAACACAGGGGCACAGTTTTAAGGTAAGGAGCAGCAAGGAGTTTTCCAGGGGATTTGTGGGGAAAAGAAATTCACTCAGAAGTGGGGGTAGGTATTTGGAGCTTAGTACCTGAAAGGTTGGTAGAGCAAAGAACCATCAACATATTTAAGAACTGTTTGATAAACACTTGTAACATCAAAGCAAAGAAGTCCACAAACTAGTACTGGACAATGAGATTAAAGTGGTGGATGTTTGGAGATGAATGTGGACACAATGGACTGAAGGGCCTTTTTCTACGCTGTAAAATGTCTATGACCCATTAGTTCAAAACCCTCCATGAAATTCAATTCAACACTGTAGGAAGAACCACCTCGAGGAACCCAAACCAATTCACTGAAGTCCATTGTTGATCTGGCCATTGTTTGACAGTCTGAGAATCCCAGTCTGTGCCTTCTCTAGACTCCCAAAGTAAACTGCTGAGCTGTCAGGGTCAGACAGTCATCGTGCTGGCATTCACATTCCGAGAACAGATTTCCAACAAACTCATCTCTCCACTTCCTGCTGTCTCTTGTTAACCCAGCAGCACTGAGAGCTGATCAAACATTGCATAGCAAGTACCTCTCTCAGCCTTCAGTTTGAAATATTGCTGCTCATGCTCAAAACACCCAACCTGAAAGTTCTTACACTATCACTTCAAGTCAGGTGAGTTGAAGCTGCCTTTTGTTTGATGGTTAAAAAAAAATTTACTCCTCTGCCTTTTCTGATTGTTTTGATAATTGTCTTAACTCTTGTGTTCATTCTGGTTTGCAACTGCCAAAGGAAACTGTTGTTCCTTATTTATTGATGTGTGTGTAATGGAGTGCTCAATGTATTATATCACATCCAATCTGTTATATTCCCTTCTCTTTTACAGTTCATCTTGATGTATGTATTTATTGAGATGTACAATACACCCCTGCATTATGGCTCCTATGAGTTCCCACTGTGGGGGAAGGCACTGGGTGTGTGTCTGGGGGTGCTGTGCTGTATACAGATCCCATTCTGGGCTGTGGCTGCTGTGCTGAAGGAGTCTGGAACGTGGCGAGATGTAAGAACCTATTCTCTTTGCTGCATGTGGCTTTATTGAGGAAACTATTGATCCTCACAGCACCGGGGATCCGGGTTCGATTCCAGTCTCGGGCAACTGTCTGTTTGGAGTTTGCGCATTGTGGGTTTCCTCCCGCAACACAAAGATGTGCAGGTTAGGTGGATTGGCCGTGTTAAATTGTCCATAGTGTCCAGGAATGTGCAAGCTAAGTGGATTAGCCATGGGAAATACAGGGTTGCAAGGATAGAATTGGTGGGGGAGGGGGATATCTGGGTGGGATGCTTTTCGGAGGGTTGGTGTGAATTTGATGGGCCGAATGGCCTTTTATTTCTCTATTCATTTGTGGGATGTGGGCATCGCTGGCTGGCCAGCATTTCTTGCCCATCCCTAGTTGCCCTTGAGAAGGTGGTGGTGAGCTGCCTTTTTGAACCGCTGCAGTCCTCCAGCTGTGGGTTGACTCACAATGCTATTAGGGAGGGAATTCCAGGATTTTGACCCAGCGACAGTGAAGGAATGGCGATATATTTCCAAGACAGGATGGTGAGTGACTTGGAGGGGGGTGGTGTTCCCATTTATCTGCTGCCCTTGTCCTTCAAGATGGAAGTGGATGTGGGTTTGGAAGGTGCTGTCTGAGGGTCTTTGGTGAATTTCTGCAATGCATCTTGTAGATAGCACACACTGCTGCTACTGAGCGTCGGTGGTGGTGGAGGGAGTGGATGTTTGTGGATGTGGTGCCAATCAAGCGGCTGCTTTGTCCTGGATGGTGTCAAGCTTCTTGAATGTTGTTGCCTGCTTCCACACTATAGGGGCTCTAAACAGCCTGGGCTCCTATCAAAATGGAAGGACACCCAGGATATTTGTTTTATCATTTTCAAACACCTCATGTGTTCATACCCAATCGCTATTGTCAGATGCAATGACCTGCCATCTACTTAAAACTACCAGCTGGTCTCTCCTGACAATGGTGAGATGAAAGATCAAATAATCTGTTTCTTGAAAAGAGATGTCCAGGTCGCTGGGAAGTTTGTTACACTTGTTCCCATGGGATTTTAATATCCATCTGACAGCCCCTTGGTTTAATGTCTCAACCAAAAGGCTAGACCTCAGCACTGACTCTCAGAGTCCAGGACCAAAGAGGGGTCACTGAACCCAAAATGTTATCTCTCTTTTTTTCCCTCTCTCCCCAGATGCTGCCTGACCTGCTGGGTTTCTCCAGCAGTTTCTGCTCTTGTTTCAGTCAAAATTTGATCTGTTTGTGTCAGTGTCCTGCCGTGCCGTTTCAGCGGAAGCTTGAACACATTTACATCACTGGCAAGATACAAAGCAGGAGCAGGAGTAGGTCATTCAACCCTCAACACTCTCCTACCAGTCAGTACAATCAGAGCTGATGGTTTACCTCAACCCCACTTTTTTGCTTGCTCCCCTTATCTCTTGATTCCTCCAAGAGCTCCAACGTCTCTGCCCTCTGGCCTTGTGTAAATAGCTGAGAAAGAGAGAGACGTTGGCACTGGTGCTGGTGGTGATAGTGACAGTGGTACAGGAGCTAGCTGACAGTATTATCTTTCCTGTTCATCTCCAGCGGTTTAGGAAAGCCATCCGACCCCTGAACTCATGGAAGGTGACAGGGGGTGAGCGGACGTTCACACCACAGACAGTCGACGTGCCTTTCTCAGTGACACTGACTGAGCACGACTTCAACGAGGTGCAAGCCTGAATCTGCAGGCTGGGCCAGGGGCGGTGATGGTACTGGAAACAGCGGAGGGCAAGGACGGGACTAGGGGGCTTCTGCTGCAGATCAGCTCCTCGAAGATAAGAGGAAATGGACCCTTTGCCTCTCCTGGTTATATGTTTGAACAGAGGGCACTGGAAAATACAAGGTCCTATGGTGCTCAACAGACAGAGTTTACCCAGACTGAGAGTCAATACTGCCTCCCCACAACCCAACACGCGGTCTTCTGGACCAGAAACCCTTGCTTCCAGGGAATCCTTGTCTCCCCCAACATACCAGCCCCTTCACCGACATGTTCTATCCCATACGAGAACCCGATGGGATCATGTGGGAAGTCACAGCCTCCCCTGTGCCACCTTGCCATCACCATGACGCCAGTTCAGTGGGTGATCTACACCGTGCACTATTCAACGCTGTGTTGGACTTGTACAGAGAGGCCTTCCAATAATCGCGTCACAGAGACAGTCAGATTGCTCTGGTTTCTATCGGCTCTTGAGGGTGTGCGAGCCATATTACCCGCCTCAGCCCTCTCCCTAAGGCGCAGGCCAGTGTAATGTTGGCAACTCAGCAACAAATCCGCACAAAGGACAACGAAGCAAAATAAATGGCCAGATAATCTGTTTGTGTAGTGATGTTGGTTGATTCAGGATTGGACACCAGATATCAGTGAGAACCTCCAACTGTCCTTTTGATCCTGCCCAGCAGCCTTTTTGCATCCACCTGACAGAGCATACAGAGCCATGTTACCCAAAAAGATGGCACCTCCAACATTTTGTCAGCACTGACCCTCCGACAGTGCGGCACTCCCTCAGCACTGACCCTCCGACAGTGCGGTGCTCCCTCAGTACTGACCCTCCGACAGTGCGGCGCTCCCCCAGCACTGACCCTCCGACAGTGCGGCGCTCCCCCAGCACTGACCCTCCGACAGTGCGGCGCTCCCTCAGCACTGACCCTC